CCAGTTGCTGGGTCAGAAACTTTGGGCCCTGGAAGAAGGGCACGTTGAGATGGGGGAAGATTGGATACATGAAGGGATAGGGATAAGAGACTGTTATGAGGCCAAGGGATGTGTCTGTCTTGATTGCTGTATTTCTACTGTACCTGGCACTTAGCAATTGTCCAATAAAATATTTGTTAAATTGAGTAGAAACTGGCCTAATAGTGGAAATTATTGCTTTATCAAAGGGGGGAATACATTAATATTCATTCTTTTGCTTTTTCTAGATAGTGTAAAGCTTGACTCACAAATTCTTGAATTGTTACTATTTAGTACTTTGGTTCAGTCTCCTCAGGGGCTGAATAGAATTATGAGAGCTAGCTTCAGAATCGAACCAGTATTTACAATCTAACTTCTGAGGGAAATTGTACTTAGTATTTTAAGCAGCCAATTTACAAAGATACTTTTGGAACACACTTGTTTGAAAATTGAGGATTCTCTGTTCCATATGATAAATGCTAAGTGAATATTTCAGATGCTAGTCACTTAATTGGGTACTAGGGAGGGCAAGATTGCTTCCAGGGGGGTAGGTAAGAGAACTTTCCAGGATGGAAGATTTATACAGAACATTAAGAGTGGGACAGGAGTCAGAAAGACAGAGAAAAGGAAGAAATGCCTTCTAGATGAGAGAAAAATTATGAACAAAAGCAAGAATAAAAAGGGCACAGAGGTATAGCGGGTAAATGTCTGAATAGAGAAGTATCAGAGATATATAAAAAGAATGTTACTGCAAAAGCAGCATTTTTAGGAAGATTAATTGGTGGTTATCTGTGGCATGATTTGGAGCTGAGACAGACTGGAAATGTGGAAATTAATTAAGAGTCTATTTCATAAATCCTGGCATGAGATAATGGCCTAACCCAGAGTGGCAGTGGATATGCAAAGAACATGCAAAAAGATAACAGGAAATGAATGCTATTTTGTTATTTCACAGAGCAGAAATTATTTTCTAGGCTTTCTGATTTATAACAAATATATAAATGACAGTGAAATATTCTCTCAAATACATCATTGTAAGGCCTTCTCTTGTTTTTCTTGAAAGTAGTTTTTGTTTATATAAGTCATTTATATCATTATATATAATGATATATAATTATACTGATAGAGTAACCAGTTGAATTTTTCATTGTAAAAAAAGGCACACTGACACTTCTATTTCCAGAAAAATTGTGGATTAAACAACGTGAAAACATCTCTCAGTATAAAACACTTGGAAATCAGGGTAAAATAAAACATCCCCATACACCAAAGTGAAGACTGAGTTGAGAACCAAAACAGGGTGGCGGAAGATGATGCTATGATTGCCCTGGAGAGTTTATTGGTCTTGTTAACCTAGAGCCTTGGGTTTATTTCACATGCAATAAAACAAGAGGTCTTGGGCCAGTGTTAAGTTAGACATCCCCACAATGCTAAAGCCCCAAAAGGTTGTGCCTTCAGAGGAAGGGCAAGCTAGCAAAAATCAACCAACACAAGGAGGCAAGCAGGAGCTGGATGCTTTACACCTGTATTTTGGTTGGACTAAAGTCATATCCACTTTAAATTTGTAACCATAAGTCCTCATACCGATTTGTCACTTGAATTTATACTATCTGTAGAGGCTCTCCCACACTGAGAAATCAACCAAAAAATAATGAGGTCTAGGCTATGCTGCTATTACTTCTGGAGTGCTTGGTAGAAGCAAAGGAAAAACCTTTCTGGAGGGATATGCCTTTAGTCATAGTTGCAATAATTTCCACAGAAAGCTTCACAGATTAAAATTATAGGATACACAAGGAAATAATCTACTATGAGTGAAGGTCAGCAAATATACCATATGGCATGATTAGACCCCAAGAAATTCAATTAATGGGAAAATTGGTTAGATATTCAAAATATCTGATTTTTACAACTATCTACTTCATAGAAGAAATTAAGAACATAAGAAAAGAACAAGCTGTTAAATTTTTAAAAAGTATTTTGGGGCCTCATTCTGGGCAGATTTCTGGGAGAGGGGAGCTGTTTCGGCATAAGCAGGGCTAAGACTGATTGATGGTTGGGAGTTGTCAATATTACAAATCATGATGTCCAGGGAACTGGTATGAACTTTCGTCCCAATTGATTAGTGCCTATATTAAAAATGTCAGATATTTGGGGTGAGGCCTTGTGGCAGGGATCTCCATGAAGTGGTGATAATTTAAGTCAAATGGTGAGAGAAGAGTGGCTGTGAGATTTCTGTCCAGTTGGAAGCAAGACCCCAGCAGTCAGGTAGAATGTAAGGGTAATGATGGTGTGGGAGGGTGTCGAGGTTAGCTGCTGACAAGGACTAGGGTGACTGTCAAGACCCCAGTCAAAAGGGCTTGAGGTTAGGGGCGCCTGGGTGGCTCAGTCGACTGAGCATCCCACTTCAGCTCAGGTCATGATCTCGCAGTTTAAGCCCCTCATGGGGCTTGCTGCTGTCAGTGAAGAGCCCGCTTTGGATCCTCTCTCCCCTTCTGCCTCTGCTTCCCCCCTGTTCATGCTCTGTCTCTCAAAAATAAATTAAAAACATTAAAAAAAAAAAGGTCTTGAGTTTAGGACAGATATATCTAGGAGAAAAATGGATTACCAAATAAATTGGGAAAGAAGTCCTGTAATGCAGAAGAATTACGCATGCATGAAGAATACAGGGAGCAGGGAAGATGTAGGTCAGAGTATGAACTATAGGTGCCCTGGATACCAGACTTAGAATACCAAGACTAATTCCAGACCCTATGTATGATAGGAATGGGGCTTCCAATATGCTACCAAGCTTGGTTCAGACTTGGTCAGAACTGGAGCAAATTTAGGGTCTGAAATTGGGTGAAGTTCCATGAGGCAAGCACTGATAAAGCTGACTGTATTTATATATATGCATATATATACATATATATACACACATATATACATACATGTATATATGCATTAGTATCAGATAATCAAACAATTGTTATCTTCTTTACTACAAAATATCATGCAAAAGTCGATACTACCCAAAGCAATCTACACGTTCAATGCAATCCCTATCAAAATAACACCAGCATTCTTCACAGAGCTAGAAAAAATAATCCTAAAATTTGTATGGAACCAGAAAAGACCCCGAATAGCCAAAGCAATCTTGAAAAAGAAAACCAAAGCAGGAGGCATCACAATCCCAGACTTCTGGGACTATACTACAAAGCTGTAGTCATCAAGATGGTATGGTACTGGCACAAGAACAGACACTCAGATCAATGGAACAGAATAGAGAACCCAGAAATGGACCCACAAACGTATGGCCAACTAATCTTTGACAAAGCAGGAAAGGATATCCAATGGAATAAAGACAGTCTCTTCAGTAAGCAGTGCTGGGAAAACCGGACAGCGACATGCAGAAGAATGAACCTGGACCACTTTCTTACACCATACACAAAAATAAACTCAAAATGGATGAAAGACCTAAATGTGAGACAGGAAGCTATCAAAACACTCGAAAACCTCTTTGATCTTGCCCGCAGCAACTGCTTACTCAACACGTCTCCAGAGGCAAGGGAAACAAAAGCAAAAATGAACTATTGGGACCTCATCAAAATAAAAAGCTTCTGCACAGCAAAGGAAACAATCAGCAAAACTAAAAGGCAACTGATGGAATGGGAGAAGATATTTGCAGGTGACATATCAGATAAAGGGTTAGTATCCAAAATCTATAAAGAACTTATCAAACTCAATACCCAAAAACAAATAATCCAGTGAAGAAATGAGCAAAAGACATGAATAGACACTTCTCCAAAGACGACATCCAGATGGCCAACTGACACATGAAAAAATGCTCAACATCACTCATCATCAGGGAAATACAAATCAAAACCCCAATGAGATACCACCTCACACCTGTCAGAATGGCTAACATTAACAACTCAGGCAACAACAGATGTTGGTGAGGATGCGGAGAAAGAGGATCTCTTTTGTATTGTTGGTGGGAATGCAAGCTGGTGCAGCCACTCTGGAAAACCGTATGGAGGTTCCTCAAAAACTAAAAATAGAACTACCCTACGACCCAGCAATTGCACTACTAGGCATTTATCCAAGGGATACAGGTGTACTGTTTCGAAGGGACACATGAGCCCCAATGTCTACAGCAGCACTATAAACAATAGCCAAAGTATGGAAAGAGCCCAAATGTCCATCGATGGATGAATGGATAAAGAAGATGTGGTGTATATATAAATATAAATATATATATATATACACACACACACACACACACACACACACACACACACACACAATGGAGTAGTAATCGGCAATCAAAAAGAATGAAATCTTGCCATTTGCAACTATGTGGATGGAACTGGAGGGTATTATGCTAAGTGAAATTAGTCAGTCAGAGAAAGACAAAAATCATATGACTTCACTCATATGAGGACTTTAAGATACAAAACAGATGAATGTAAGGGAAGGGAAACAAAAATAATATAAAAACAGGGAGGGGGACAAAACAGAAGAGACTCATAGATATGGAGAACAAACTGAGGGTTACGGGAGGGGTTGTGGAAGGGGGGATGGGATAAATGGGTAAGGGGCACTAAGGAATCTACTCCTGAAATCATTGTTGCACTATATGCTAACTAATTTGGATGTAAATAAAAAAAATAAAAAATAAAATTTAAAAAAACATGCAAAAGATTTTTTTTGCACACAATATGACTTCTGCTTAAATGAATGCAACATCTCAATGAACAGATTTATGATAAATCTATCCAACTCTTTGCTATCTATCTCTCACTGTCATTATAATTTCTTCCAAAGTTTTATTGAGAAGTCATTTTCTCCTGTGCTGACAAAGTATTTCTTGAGGAGTGACTTCATTCAAATTTTTCAATTAAAAAGCTCATTTGGAATGTTTGGAATGTTCAGGATGTTTTCTGTTTGAGACATAGAATCCCATTCAGCCTTGTCCCCACCCCGCCTGCCATGTTGTTACTCACCTACAGGCTTAGTCTGGAAGGGCCTTGGCAGGAACTTCTCCCTTCTGGAAAGAGCCTGCAGCTTCTGGACTCCCAGGGTTGGGGATTTGCCTCTGAGAACCACAGAGTTTTTCTGATCCTCCTGGGTCAGACCTCTTGGGAACTGTGTTGCCAGATTCCTTGTGAGTTTCCAGAAACTCCTGGGCCTCTTGACTCAAATGGCTCCTTGTTCTCCCCTGCCCTCAACAGAGCCGCTCTCCTCCTCAGCACTCCACTGTCTCCAGCTCTAGGCGCCTGCTTTAGAGTGACTTTCAGTATGCTGTTCAGTAGCATGTTAGTGACAACACTAGCAGTACTCTGTGGCAATCTTCCAAAGTTAGAAAGATCTGTTTCCTGTAAAATAGAAATAAAATTCCTAGATTCTGTGTTTGACTTGGAGGGCAGAGAGGAGGCGAAGGAAACTGGTGTACAGAGTGCTCCAAAATTCCAAAGTGTGTTCCGAGATGCATCTCGTCTTGAGAAATTCTTTTGGAGAGATTGGTTAAGGGAATTTTGGTTAGTTGGAAAAAAAAAAGTGTAGAAATCTGCATACCGTTCTCTATTATGGAAGCTCATAATTCTTAGGAGCATGTTCATAGTTCTAAGAAGTCCTATAGTAAAGAAACTTACTTAATTTGGATTAGTGTTTTCCAGACTTTTTGATCTCCATATTTTTTTATTAAAAATTTTTAACGTTTATTTATTTTTGAGAGAGAGAGAGAGAGAGAGAGAGAGAGCATGAGTGGAGGGAGGGGCAGAGAGAGAGAGAGAGAGAGGGAGACACAGAATCTGAAGGAGGCTCCTGTCTCTGAGCTATCAGCACAGAGCCAGACGCGGGGCTGGAACTCATAAACCTGTGAGATCATGACCCGAGGTGAAATCAAGAGTGAGATGCTTACCTGACTGAGCCACTCAGGTGCCCCATAAAGTACTTTTTAAATTCTGCTTTTTTTACTTAACATAGCATCATTCATATTCTCCATGTTGTTATGTTCACACATATTATTTACAGCTTCAGAAAGTATATATCCTTGTTAGCCAGCTCTGGAAGGACAATATATACACAATGGGATGAGACCATTGTGTACAGTGGTTTTTCTTTTTTGTTTTGAAAACCTGCAAGTTGGGGCACCGGGGTGGCTCAGTGGGTTAAGCGTCCAACTTTGGCTCAGGTTGTGAGCCCTGCACTGGGCTCAGGGTTGGCAATGCAGAGCCTGCTTCTCTCTTTCTCCCTCTCTCTCTGCCCCTCCCCAACTTGTTCTTTCTCTCTCTCTCTCTCAAAAATAAATAAATTAAAAAAAAAACCCTGCAAGTTTACTGCTACAGTGATTTAAGGTTGTTCGCTCACTACATTTATGTGAAAGTAACTACTTCCATAATATATATAATAATATAATATCTACATAAATAATAAACGTAAAAATTCTGTTGAAGACATCCTCAGCTTTTCCTCTTAGTGAACACAATCATCCGAATTTCTCTTCCCTTCCCAACTCTAGGGGCTGTAGTCAAGGCATCATGACATTTTATGACCCCCTTTATGGAAATGAAAAACATTAAAGAGCTTAAGTGACTTTTGTAGTTTTAAAACAAGTGGTAGCCTCACTATAGCACTCTTGATTCTTCTTTGTGGACTGTGGTATATGGCATTGGTTGCCTGGTGTCTTTTCCATCACTTTCCTTTGTAACAGATTCTATTCCTCCTTTGCTTGGTCTATCGTGGAACCCATCCGCTTGGACAAAGTATTTCGTTCAGAGGTGACAACATCCAAGCGATTATAATTCTTCCCCGAGATTATTAATTTATGGAAGTTGGGGCTGCCAAGGTTAAGAAGATGTGACATTGGCGCTATCTGGGCAACTGTTTTTCCTGCCAGCTGGGAGAAGGTGTGCCTTCGGCTAAAGAGAGTAACACTGAACAGATATGAGAAATGCAAGGAGAGACACAGAGCTGACACCTTGGTCCCTAGAGCGCTTCATTCAGTTTTGTGAATTACTCTGGTGTACTTTCTACCGCTATGACTTAAACTTGCTTAGCTAGGCTTAATTGTGTCTTTATAAATTGCAACCAGGAGAGTCCTAACTAATTCAGTTCCTACAGTGGTAGATAAGACATCAACCGCCAGTGAAAAGCACCACTAGATACGGTTAAAAGACTCAGATCCCAATAAAAACATAAAGCTATTAAAATGAGACAACACGCATATTCTGCCAAATTAGGCAGAAAACTATCATTTTAATTTCTATTGAAAACTGGTTAATATTTGAAGTATCTAGGCCCACTGTAATCAATAATGTAGTTATTTCCCAAAGTGTAGCGTTGCAGTCAATATGCCTGTAGTTCATTTGAGGGTGTGCTAGCCTAAAATACAAGAGGGTGGGATCAGAAAGTGAGAAAATGGTAAGAACTTAGTTCTGGATCAATCATGATCTCTCAGGAATTAAACAAAATGGATGAAAGAAGAGTTGAGAGATGTAAGGACGAATGGCTGACACATTTCTGTACCCTTTAAAAAATATCTTTGCTAACCTGATATATTAGATTGCTTGTAGTTGTCTACAGTTCTGTTATTTTTATTTTTTTAATATTTATTTATTTTTGAGAGAGGGAGTGCAAGTGAGCATGGGGGAAGGGCAGAGAAAGATGAAGACAGAGGATCATCCCCTGTCAGCGCAGAGATGGACATGGGGTTCAAGCTCACGAATGGCGAAATTATGACCTGAGCTGAAGTTGATGCTTAACCAACTGAGCCACCAGGTGCCCCTCTATTATTTTTAAGGAAGTAAGAACTGTAAACAGATGAACAAAAACGTTCCGGGGCACAACATGGTTACCTTAGTGTTTTTAATTGCATTTACACTTTATTTGGATTGATAGAATTATCCACGATTATTTCTGTTGGTGAGGGTGGGAGGATGGTCTAATTTGAATAAAAGGCATGAATTTATTACATCATTGTCAAATAAGTAGTATAATCTTGAAGGAATCTCAGCCAAAATTTTATCTTGCAGGCATTTGTCAAGAAAGAAGATATTTACATTTAAAATATTAACATTCTGTCAGAGAAAAATGAAATGCAGATAAAATGCCTTAGTATTTTAATGTTAATAAAGTATATATTCATCATGACAGCTGTATATTTCCTATTTAATACAGTAATGTAAAATCTAGATTAGAGACAGGAAAATATTCTCATGATGGAACAGTTTTGCAAGAAAAGTGATTTTATTAGGGCAAACAATGTTAATAGCATGCATTAATATTTTATGTTAAATAATTGTGTGATTATCCTTTTAGTAACATATGGATTCCCTAGCACTTTTGTTTTATCATCTCATCCTTAAAAATTCCAGTGGCTTGTTTTGTTGTATTTTCCTTAATTGTGATCTTAAACAGATCCTCAGTTTTAAATCTGCCAGTTGTTCTGATACAGATGCAAAAATACATTTTCTCCAGTTGGTTATTTATTCAAAGACAGCTTGTTTGTGGATACTGTCAGGACATCTGCATTTTATTGGATCTAATTTTTAGTAATAAAGACCTCCCACATTATAGATTCTTTCCAGTCTAAATTAGCCTGTGTGGGAAGCAAAAGAACCATCAGTCAGGGAGAAAAAGTGAATCCATATGGCGCTGATGAGTCTGTTTCCCCGACTACAATGATGAAAGGGTTGAATATAGACAGTGCCCCCAGCAGATCCATGTTTCTTTCTCAAAAGCTTGCTAGAACAGGATTCGTGTCAGTCCCAACTCAGTATCTTTGAGCCAGTCCAGTTCATCCATGCATCAAGCCATAGACACCTAATGAAATTTTGAGGGTGCATTCTCCTTTACCTTTAATCTTGCTCTATTTCTCTTGCATGTATGCCCAGTCTCTGGCTCTTGCCATTCTCCTTCCATTTTGGGGCTCACCTTTGCCTTTGGGACTTGTTGGATTTTTGATTCCCTGGTCCAATACTAAGGACTTTGGTTCAGGTTTCCACACAATCTCTATGTCATGGAGAAATCTTAAAGAAATCTGCATGTGTCAAAAAGTAGTCAAAAGGGGCATCTGGGTGGCTCAGTCGGTTGAGCGTCTGACTTTGGCTCAGGTCACCATCTCACGGTTTATGAGTTGGAGTCCCACATCTGGCTTGCCGCCGTCAGCCTGTCAATGCAGAGCCCGCTTCAGATACTCTGTCCCCTTCTCTCTCTGCCCCTTCCTCCACTCACCCTCTCTCAAAAAATAATTAAAACATTAACAAAAAAAAGTAGCCAAAATTTTTTTTCCTGCTTTTAAAAAGGGACAAACAAAATGTGGTAATAGAACTTGAATAGGTGACAGGTCTTCACTTTTACAAGTTAAACTACTTCACTGTGCAGAGAAACAGACAGGAATTAAAAGTTTTTCTTTCAATGGACACCCAATACCTGGAACAGTTAATTTCTCCTGGTCATTACACCCATGGGCATAGTATATTCTTTACTATCAATGTTATCTCCCGTAGCACAAACCAGAAAAACCTGTGATTTCAGCCCCTCGTCAACTCTGAGTCTCAGCCAATGAGAAGATACTGTGTCTTCAAACATGGCTGGGTTTATGTTCATTTACGTTTTTGGGTATGTTTAAACTTAGTTTAACAAGTTTCCTAGTTTCAGAGGTGATGCAAATTGATGATTTATCCTTAAAATAGTTATTATTTAGTGCAGTGGGTAGAATTGTGTCGGCGCCTCCACCCCCCCACCAACTACCCAAAAGAAGAAAAAAACCAGTATATTCGTTTCTACCGCCTGGTACCTGTGAATGTGAGCTTATTTGGAAATAGAGTCTTTGCAGATGAAATCAAGTTAATATGAGGCTATACTGGATTAGGGTAGACCCTAATCCAAGGACTGGTGGATTTATAAGAGAGAAATTTGGACATGAACATACTCTGCCATGTGATGAAGGCAGAGATTTGAGTGATGTGTCTATAAGCCAAGGAAGATCAAAGATTGCTGGCACCCCCTAGAAGCTACAATGAGGTAGGAAAGGATTTTTCCTGGAGTATTGAGAGAAAGCATGGCCCTCTGTACACCCTGACTTTGGACATCTAGCCTCTAAAATTGGGAGAGAATAAAATTGTTTTAATCCATTTAGTTTGTGGTGATCTGTTAGGAGTTTTTCATCAGTGAAAGGGGGCTTTGGCTTACCAGATGATCTCTGAAGTCAGTTTCACTTGTAATACTTTATGCCTCTAAATCTGTAACATATTCTGATTTTTCCTTAATTGTATAGCTTTGTATAAACTGTATAGAAAGTCACTTATGGATTTAATGTCTCCTCCTCTTTCTGCCTCTCTCACCCACCTCCAAAAAGGAGACGTGTGTGAAACTAGAGTATCTTATTCTGCAAGATGAGCTTCATTTCGGGTAATAGAGTTGATGGACAAACTGTCTCTCAGCTTAGGTGTTAGTCAAGCCTCCTCTCTAGCAAGCATGTTTGAATAAAAGAATAAACACTAATGTCTGTCCATGGACTTATCAACCTAACAGTATAGTGGAACAGAGGAAAGTTAACGTGGCATACTCCCTGAGCAGGCAGTTTAAACTCTCTGTTTCCTTACCCTTAAAATGGCTATCACAATACCGGCTTACTGGGTTGTTGAGCTGACATGAAACAGAATGCTGTTAATACCTTTTTTAAAGTGCCTGGTATGGCGTGCTTAAAAACTTTACTTGCTTACAAAATTCTCGCTTACAGAAAGGATACTGAAAACATCCGGGATCCCCTTTTCCGGATTCCCCTTTTCCGCGGTCGGCAACCACGCACCCAGGTCCACGGAGCGCTTGGCTGCGGCGGGGAGATTTGCATTAGGAAACCGGGCGCGCGGGGGGAGGGGGGCGGAGTTGCGCCGGCGGAAGCGCTCTCGCGCCACTGTCAGCTGCGCCGGAAGTTCCTGGTCGGGCCTGGCGGTAACCTTGGGGTCCTCGCCGCCTCCGCCGCCGCCAGGGTGGGCTGCGCGAGTCTGAGCCTCAGCCGGGTCGGGACTGGTAGCAGTTAGGGGACGCCGGGGTTGTAGGAGAGGACGCCGAGGGCCGTGGGGACCAGGAACTGCGGGCGCAGGACCGCCCAGCCGACATGTCTCTAGTGGCGGAAGCCTTCGTCTCGCAGATCGCAGGTAGCGCGCGTGGCCCTGGGTTGCGGGTGGAGGCGGGGGCGGCGCAGGGCAGTCGCCGGGAGCAGCGTGCGGGTTAGGGCTGCAGCTTTGCCTCAACCTTGCGGCATTAGATGCAGAACCCAGGCCTGGGGATAGAGGCGGGCACGGAGTACCAGCCTCGTTTCACAGATGAGAAAACTGAGGGGGGACACTTGGCCAAGGTCACCTAGCAGGGGCGGGAATACCGCCTTCCTTCTCGTGGGCGTACTTTGGTTCCCCTCCGGTTAGGTCAAGAGGGGTGGGGGTGCGTGAAGGATGTCGTGGGTTGGCATGAGGGGGCGTGGCTACAGGGGCCAGGTCTTATAAGGCTTCATTAAGTCTGAGAGTGAGGTTGGCCTCCGTCGTTGGACCTGAAGTTTAAAGTGATTGTCACTAATGAGTTGCCCTTGTTACCTAATGTTGTTGAGGGGCTACCGAAGATCTTGCTTTCTCTCCCAGCACCACGATATTGCCATCTGCTAGGTTTGCAGGATTCGTCGATAAGTCAATCTACATATATTTTTTAGAAACACCTTTGATTTGATGGACTGAATGTAGCTGATGTAAACAAAATAGATTTATGTTTTCTGTTTTCGAGGTTCTTACTGTAGTGGAAGAAATTAAATATTGTTGAGGAAGTGAGACTAGACACAGGTATTGTAGGTATGTATTGATGGGATAATCTTTAAATGGAGTTAATCTTAACTTCCCAGAAGTATTTTCAACATGAGTAAAGAGACAGTTACCAGGATAAATAGGTACATTTAAAATGAAGTAGTGTCTTGGAAATGGAAAGTACTGAATGTGTCCTAAAATTTGTAAAATGGTTTTCATTGCATTGCATTTGTGTGAACATAACGTTTCTTTTTTTCTTTTTCACTTAAATACATTGTTTTCTGGCAGAGAGGGAAGCCCTCACTAGATTAAAAGCTTCATGAAAATAGGGATCTATTTGTTTTGTCCCCCATTGTATCCTGAACACCTGTTAGTTGGTGCTTAGTAGAATTTGTGACCCGAGTCAGTGAATAATCTTAAGATTTCAAACTGATTATTTCTCTTTTTACCGCTTATGTTAAAAAAAAAAAAAAGTTAGATCACTGATTTAATTTCCATTTATGCAATGTTAGAAAAAATCAACCATTTCATATTGTATGCTGATACTGGTATACTGTATGCATGTATTCCAATGTGTGATTTCTTCTAAAAAAATGATAAATGTCTTTCAGTAAACTTAATGAGTTTGGACTTTTGTGTCAGTTAGTAAAATTTAAGAATTTCTAGGAATTGTAATCTGTCTGTCATCTTAGCTGTTTGTAATGCTCTATTACCCTAGAAGGAGGCATTTAAAGATGGAAAATTCAATAAATGGTGTTGGGCCAGTTCCTAGGTCATAACACCACAAGAATAAATTCCAAATGAATTAAAGATTTAAATGTAAAATAAGAACAAGAACCAAATTGTAATAAAATAATTAGAAAATATAGGTGGTAATTTTCAATAATCTTGGGTAGCAGAGGAAGCCTAAGGACACACAGGATCCAGAATCCTTGGGAGAGAAAATTGGCAGGTTTGATTGCAGAAAAATTTAAAAAGCTTTATATGATAAAAGACATACGTTTCTACAGATTAATGAAAATATCAGCAGAATCCAGGGTAAAGGATAGGAACAGGCAGTTCACAAACAGGAAATGCAGATGGACAATGAACATATGAATAAATGCTCTCTGTCAATGAAAGTAGATAGTTTTCCAGCTAGTCAGATGCACAAAAATGAGTATGATAATTTCTAGTACTGACAAAGGCATGGGGAAAACATCTACCCTCAAACTATTGGTGAGTCTATAAATTATTACTACTTTTTGGGAACTTAATATAGCAGTGTTTATTAAAATACCGTCCTTTGATCCAGAAACTTTTCGGGGAATTTATTTGATAAAAATATAAGGACTGTTGTTTAAAGCAATATGCATTATAGCATTAATTTTAATAGCAAAAACCCAGAAATGTACTAAATATATGCCAAATTATGGTATGCCCACATTATTACAAATACTAGAAATCAAGAGATATATCTGTTAAATATATCGGCTTGAAATTTATGATTATCTTAAATAAAAACAAGTTATACTATAATATATATATTGTATGAACCCCATTGTTGTTAAATAAACCCTATATAAACATGTATATGTTTATGTAAGTACAGAAAAATAGAATATTCAACTAATTTTAACTTGTAATTTCAGAGTAATAAGTGTAGGGAGTTGGTGGAGGGGGGAGGAGCTACATTTCTGAATTGTTTGAATTGTTATAATGAGAATATTTTACTTGTGTGGTTTAAACAATATAACTAAAAAAATTTAAAAGATTGTATCTGGACGAGCAGTGAAATAAGGGTGGCTAAAATAAACAATTTATATGAAACCCTATGTTTGCCTTGTAAGTGACTTTTAAGTGTGACTCCAATCCAATAACTATTCAGAGTTTTCTATTTCTGACAATAATATGGTTTTCTCGGAAGAGATCAATCTCAGGAGATTAGAGGTACATATCTATACAGTCCTATTATAAATAGAATAAATAGTTGTGAATCTGTTTTTGCAGCTGAGAGCTTTATTAACAGTGTGCTTTTTCTTCTTCCTTTCAGTGGATGTGAGCCAACACACTGACATTTCTTTCAGAAACATTGAAAGGCATCTTGCATCTATCTGTGATATTCTTGAGAGCCTTATTATTAAAAAAAATTTTTTTTGAATGTTTATTTAGTTTTGGGGGGGGGGAGGGACAGAGAGAGAGGGAGACACAGAATCTGAAGCAGGCTCCAGGGTCTGAGCTGTCAGCCCAGAGCCCGACATGGGGCTTGAACCCCACCCTGCCCTCCAAACTTCAAGATCGTGACCTGAGCAGAAGTGGGACGCATAAATGACTGAGCCACCCAGGCACCCTACTATTATTTTCTTAAAATGCAAATGCGACTCTTGTTTTAACATCTTCATTAGTTCCGTATTGTTCGCAGGTGGAGTGAAGTGTATAAGACCTGTCATAAGTAAGCCTCATCTCTTGTCACTCTTAAATTCTCACCTTTCTAAACTGTTTTAGAGTTCATCTTTGGCACATGTTGTCCTCTGCTTGAAATGCCCACTTTGCTTTTGTAACTCGTTTGTCCCTTAAGACTCTGGGCACATTTTAACCTATAAATCTATCTTACGTTTTTTCTTGTCAAATGAGAACTGTTTCTTTTTTTTTCCTTTTTGTCTGATAATAATTATGATACCTGGCCTGTAGACAATGAAATAATATGAAGAATAAAGTAAAAATCACCTAAAATCGTAACACCAGGTTAAGACTTTAAAGTTTCACCCTCATCATTAAAACTTTGGTGAGCAGAGCTATCTTCTCTGCCCCTAAATGAAAAAACAAATGAAACAAATTATTGAATGTACATATTTTTTTGGAACCTGTTTTGCCATGTATCATTGAGATCTGTTTCCATGTCTGCAAATTGAATTATTCCTGTGGTTACATAGCATTTCATTGTAATGAAGAAATACATAACTTATCCAGTCTTATTTTGGTGGGTATTTAGGGTGTTGTATTAGTTCAACCAGAGAAGCAGAAGCTGTAGGATTTTGATCTCTAGCTCTACCTTTGGCTCTAGCTCTAGCTTTATATCTGTATGTCTACACACACATGCATGGACACATACATGGAATTGGCTTATGCTGTGGTGGGGGTAGGCCAACCAAGGACTGTGTTCACAAGGCAGGTAGCCAGGAATGGGAGATTCAGGAGGAAGAAAGGGTACGTGCAACAGGTGCTGCTTGCAGTGTGTGAGCTCATAGGCCCTCTCTTTAAAGACTTCAGCCGATTAAATCAGGCACACCCCAAGATGATCCCTCCCTTTTTTAAAAAAAAAATTTTTTTTTTTAAAACATTTATTCATTTTTGAGAGATAGAGAGATACAAGCATGGGTGGGGGGTGGGGCAGAAAGAGACACAGAATCCAAAGCAGGCTCCAGGCTCTGGGCTATTAGCACTGCGGGCTGGAACCCACAGACCGCGAGATAATGACCTGAGCTGAAGTCGGATGCTTAACCGACTGAGCCACCCAGGCATCCCGATCCCCCTTTTGATTAATGTAAAGTTAACTGATTAGGGATTTTATTTATATCTGCAAAATCCCTTCACAGCAGCACATGGCTAACAGAGAAGGAGTTTATATACTACAAAATGGCTCTTCTCTTTTGTTTTCCCAGGGTCTGCTAGAAAATGTCCCTTGTAGCTTATCCTAATCAGTAGAAAGAGAATTCTGGCAAATGTGGTTCAGTCTAGTCAAGTTGATGTATCCTAAAGCCATCACTGGTATATATGATTTTTGTGTGATGTCAATAGTGCTTTCATAGACATATTTGTGTATCTCTTGAGTAGTTTCTTTGGATAAATTTCCTAAAGTGGAAGAGGATTTTGAATTGTTCTTATTACTTAATAATATGGAAAGGAAGGGTAAATTATAATTTTGAATTTTAATTTTTTTTAATTTTTAATTTTTGAATTATAGCTTGGATCTCTAGGTGATGATATGCTAGATTTAGAACCTTGGAAGAGGGATAAAAATAGTCCTGGATATTGAATCATTTTCAAAATCTTTTGGAACTGTGTATTTTCAATACTTAT